ATAACATCAGGGTAGTGTAATCCTGGCCTGTGTGTGGTGTAATATCTATTTTCTTTCTGTCTTTGTTTAAACTCAACAGCAGATCACCCAAAGGCCCAAATAACTATTGATGTGAGAGACATTCCAGTAGGGGGCAGTGTGACCCTTAGCTGCTCAGTGAACTCATCATCTGGATGGAAATACTACTGGTACAGAGATGTGAACTCATCTGAACCTCTGACCACACAAGATGCTGTTCAGATGCAGATGCAGTTCCCTTCAGAAGGACAAATCAGTGTCTCACAGGAAGGACTCTACAGGTGCAGAGGAGGAAGAGGACACCCAGTCTACTACACAGAGTACAGTGATCCACTCATCATTGATGAAAATGGTGAGCTTTTCATCAGTCAAATGTTCAAACGTTTGACGTTTTCAAACGTTTCTACATTTTGTCATAGAAAGACAAAATGTAGAAACGTTTTTTATTTTCAGTTTTATGCCTGGATCAGTGATTCAGTTTTTGAGATATTGCAACACATTTGGCCTCAAATATGCAGACTAGTCAAGATAATAATCAGATGTGAGATCCTGGAGAAGACACTGAGTGGGAGTGTGAAGGGTGAATGAAAAGTTCTCTACAGTCTTCAACACACCTGAGTGAAATACTTCAGTTTGACATCACTCAGGCCAATCTTTGTTACATTCAGAATCTAGTTCTAGTCCCACTCCTTATCCACTGCATTATATTATTGTAAAATGCCATCGTCCTTGTGAACAGAAGCATTTTTAAAGCTGCTATTTTAGTGTTTATAAGCACAGTGTAAGTACAAAGGAGTGAAATATCAGCTTCCTTTTGTTCTTTGCAAAACTGACACTGTGGCGGACCACCAGGTGGCTCCACTCACACCCAAGTTGAAGGGAAGTGTTGGGATGGAGATTTTGGCACTTACTATATGTGAAGTTCTGAGAGTCAGTTAATAAAGTTGGAGTGAGACACTGAGACCTCTCCTGTCGTTATTACATACCTCCACATTGGTGACCCCTGTAGCGAACATGCTAAGGCTCGACGACGAAGCCAGCTC